CGTTATCTCTACTTCATGTGGCACACTTGCAACTCCATTTTGAGGAAGCTGAAAGACTCTAGACTCTATACTGCAGAGAATCTAGAGTGGCTAGGTATGATGGTGGCACACACCTTTCTTTAATCCCATCATTCAGAAAGCAAGGCAGACAGACCTACTTCGTGGCCATCCTGGTCTACATAGAGATTTCCAGGATTAAACAGTAAGACTCTGCTTCAACAAACAAACAACCTACAGCACTGGCCTCAGAAATCTATTCAGCTGGTTTCAAAGAAACTGAAAACCTGAGGCTTTCCTTCACAATAAGATTACTTTAGTTCTCTGGCATCTTTATGGTTATCAAACACACAAGTAAATACTAAGGACTCTAAATTGAGGTTATGTCTTTGTTTCATCTCCTTAAAAAAAAAAAACGTGGGGTAGATGAAGTCTGAGAGAACTTTGAAGGAGGAAATATGGAGGGCGTGTTCCATTCTTTCTCTGGTCACAGAGGTTGCTGTGAGAAGTATCTGTACAACTAAGTCTCATTCTTTCAATAAAGACTTTGCCAAGTGAATCCCAATTTAAAATGTGAAAAGACAAAGATGGTTCTTCCTGTAACAGGAGCGTCTCATCTCTGGCATCCCAGTTTCTCACCATGCCACTCAGACCCTGCTGCTAGAGAAACTTCAGTGCAAGCAGGGTAACATCTTACCACTCTTTCGGTCCACACAAGCATGCATGTAGAAGGCTAAAGACCTGGGCAGAACTGAATGTTCACCAACAGAATGGGTGAAAGTCACAAGAGGGCTTTTACTCATGAGGATGCCTGTATATTTTATCTTGAAATGACTCTCTGAGTGTAGTGGATACCATAATTTATATGTTTCATGAATTTGAAAAAAGATCTATGGTTTATTAAATGCTACTTGTTAGTGAGACCTACTGACAATAACCATCAATAAAAGTTTATAGTGCTGACGCATGTCATCTATGGATTTCTGTAAGTTTGAGGCCAGCCTGGGCTACATAGCAAGAGCCTATCTCAAGTGAAAACTGTGGGGCAAAGGGAACACTAGGAAGACTGTAGTGGTACCCATGCTTGTGTGTACATGTCTAAACTCATCAAACTATCTATATTAAGTATGTGCAGCTCTTTGCATGTAACAGTCCTTTTACACCCAATCAATCCTTTCTTTAAAAAAGTTAGATCTGATACAATATACTCACAAAGCATGGTGTTAGTGAAGTTGCAGCTCTGTTTTTCCAGTCCTGGAAGCTCTGTTTGTGCTAAGTCTCACAGCCACAGTAATTCCTAGTGAGTGAAGAGAAGGAAAAACAACAATTCTCAACCTGGATATCCCTGAAGGTGAAAGAACACAACACACAGTCCTTTATTATTTTCTTTTTTCCCTAAATGTAGGGACTACACTAAGCTGGGTAAACATGACTTCAGAGAATATTAAAAAAAAAAAAAGCTGAGGTTTTCAAAGCAAAAAACATTATGCTCAGCTTTTCTCTGCTACCATGTCATTAGCTTTCTGTACCCACATAGCCCTTAGCCTTCGAATCCCTCAGTGATGTCCTTCTCCCTTCTGCCTGAGATCCCACAGCCTGATGGGTTAGATAAACTATGTGTCGAATCTTGGCAGCCATCTCTCTTATTTGTAAGAAGATCAAGTTTTTCTTGGAAAACACCTGAAGGACAAAAAATATTGCGGTGCTCACAAGTTTGCAGTGTAGAGAGCACGGGATGACAAAACTCAGCACACACAGCACCCAACAAACTTTTGTAGAGCCACCATCCGTTTCCTCTCCCTGTCTACTACCATCTGTTCAGTCTTCATTTCCATGGCTTCCGTGCCTCTGTACATGGCCTTCTATCCTTTCTCACTCTGTCTGATGGGAAAATCCATCATCAGCCTTGAAGATACTGCTATGTAAAACAGCCTCCAGAAGTTAGTCACCCGTTCTCAGAACTTTTATAAGCCTTGTTCTTATCTCTAAGGGAACACCTGTCACATCATGTCACATCTATATGGTGAATTTAAGGTCAGGGCTACTGCCTTAATCATCTTTTGATTAGCATAGCCCCTAGAAGGAAGTATATATTCAATGCATTTTGAATGAGGAGTGAGAGACACTGTCAAAATTGCCTTATGTTTCTGTAAAAATAGCTTAATAATATTGTTGCTTTTAGTGCGACTTTCTTTTCTATAAATAAGTTAGATAGCAGAAAGATTAAGAGCATGACGTGTCAATTGCCACAAATTTACCCAAAGAACTGGAGGGAAATCTTAAAATCAGAACCTTAACTAAGCGTGGCTTTAGCGACAAGTGTTTCCTCAAGTGTGTGCCTTTTAAGTTCTCTTTTCTGTTACCAGAGAACAACAGAAAAATAAGCATGTACACTTTGTGTCAAGGGAGCTTTTGTTTGTTTGCAGAACTTGGGGAGGGTAAATCTAGAATCCTCATGCATGGTGGCCCAGAAGGGTCATTTTTAAAGAGGGTTGAGGCTGCAGTGGAGCAACTTGCCTAGCACCACAGTGATCTTGGTTTGATCTCCGGCATAACAAAACAAAAGAAAAACAGAAGGATTTTACAGTTGAAAGGGACCTCTTGGTTATCAAACTGTACTGAGTGTGAAACTCTACACGATGCCTGATAAATGCTCAGCTAGCTTTCACTGGAAACTTCCATCGCTGAGAACCACATTACTCAAGGAGATCCCTGTTCTGATGATTGTGATTTCCGAACTGAGCCCAAATCATTAGCCATTAACTGAGTCTGTCTGTCTTTCTTAATATTCTCTCTCTCTCTCTCTCTCTCTCTCTCTCTCTCTCTCTCTCTCTCTCTCTCTCTCTCTCTCTGGGATAGGGGTTCAAGAAGGGTTTCTCTAACAGCTCTGGCTGTCCTAGAACTCTCTTTGTAGACCAGACTGGCCTCAAACTCACCTCAAACTCACAGAGATCCACCTGCCTTTGCCTCCTGAGTGCTGGGATTAAATGCATGAGCTACCATACATGGGTCCTAATTTCTTTTAAATTTCAGTCTTTGCTTCTTTTTCTCTTCTACTCCTGAAGACAGGGTTTCTCTTTGTAGCCCTGGTTATCTTGGAAGTCACTCTGTTGATCAGGCTAGCCACAAACTCAAGAGATCCACCCAGTCTTTGCTTCTTAAACACCAGGGCTTAGCCTCCTTCCTTATAGAACTCTATAAAGAACAATAGACAGCTATATCATTATCTCAGGGCTTTTTCAGTTTTACTCAACTACTTTTCACAGTGTTCAACTCTTCCACCAAACTAACTGTGCCCTCAGAATACATTCCAATTTGTCTCTAAGATTTCAAAAGTGAAGCCTGAAACATACTCCAAGGATTTGTAGACAATTTTCCAGAACAGCACTAACATATGTTTAACATACCTCTCCTCCATTATTCCATACTGTTCAAACTCATACTGAGTACAGTTGTACCTCGGCAATGGTTAGCAGCCAAAGGATGGATGTAGCCTGGGTGTGACCAGAGATAAGAGAACTGATCTAATTCCAAGAATGGCTCTCTAGCTGAGAGACAAGCTACCTGAATAAGCCCTTGCTATGTCAAGGACGTTGAAGGGTTCTAGTCAGCCAAAGAGCAACATTTGAGATGAGGTGAGTGGAAGTATCTCGTGCCTGTTAGGTTTTGGAGCAGAATGTCAATCGTTGCATACCATGAGACCCAGGCCTGAATCCCCAGGAAGAGAGCTTGTAAAGCATGAGGCAAACTCAGTAAAGAGGAATAAGGTGGAAAGGCCTACATTTTAAGAGAAAACTGAGGTGATAAGAATTAAAGAGGACTGGTGGGTTCAGAAAGTCATTTAATTCCATAATCTCCACATTCATAAGCATAAGATGGTGTAAAAATAGGGATAACACATCCTCTGAAGAATTATTGTAATACTTATCAAGATAATGTGTGCAAATTAAGAAATGTGGTTAGTGCTTATTAAATGCTATTACTGTACCTCGAAAACCCAAGTACAATGAATTTAAAAATAGTTTCTGTTTGGATACTGTCAAAATCATGTATCAAAGCACTCTGAATATTTTCTTATCTCCTTTGTTTTCGTGTGTGTTTGTGTGTGTGTGTAGTCAGAGGCCAAGGTTGGGTATCTTCCTCTAGCTTTGCTCTTTTCCTTATTTTTGAATATGGTACCTCACTGAACTTGATGTTTGTTGTTTAGCTAAACTGTCTAGCCAGCCCTGGGGATTTGTCCATATCCACTTCCTTCCCCCAACTCTGGTTTTACCAGTGCTCCCCTCCGTGTTTGGCTTGTAGATGGGTTCTAGGAACTGAACTCAGGTCGTCACATTTGCACTTTATTGGCTGAGCCATCTGCCCGGCTCCCCAGCCTTACACACGTTAAACATATATAAAATATATTTTTGGAAAGCAGATCAAAGGTGATATGAAGTGGTTGGAAATGGCTTGTAAAAAAAAGCATGCTACATTACTTCTTAAGAACACAAGTGTATTTATCTATAATGTGGCTATGACAGAGAGCAAATATACTTCAGTCTTTAATTTTAAATACTAGAATAGCTTTAGCATGAATATTTGGAATCAAAACTTTGTAAGTTGGAAGGCCCAGAGGCAAATGTCTTTAACCCCAGCACTCATGAACCAGAGGCAGGTGGATCTCTTGAGTTTTAGGTCAGCCTGGTCTACATATTGAGTTCCAGGCCAGCCAGAGTTACATAATGAGACTTTGTCTCAAAGATTTTTTAAACACAAACTCAATGTCATCGATTATGTCAGCATTTTTCTAGGTGAATACTTAGTATTTGCTGCAACCTCTTTTGTGCTTTCTTTACCGGCACCTTGCCCATTTTCATCTATTATCTAGTTATCTGAAACTTTAGAGGGGTGGGAGCCGCCCAATGAGGGTATGTGTCTGTTCTGATCCTGTGATTGAGAGCCAGAGAAGCAGGAGTGACATCATCCTTGACAATAAAATACTCCTCTTGATGAGCAAAAGGCCTGTATATGAAACTCAGGCTTGAAGAACTGCAGTCCAGTTTCATCAGTTGTCTGGTTTACTCCAGCTTAATACAGCATCAGTTGGTGCACTCCTGAGAGTCATTGTATGGTAAGGAATCTCTCAATTGCCCTTTTTAAATTCTGTGAGATTTAGAAAATTGTGCTAGTTTTAAAAACATACCATTTTCTACCGATATCATGGCAATTTTTAAAATTGAAAATATTAAAGGAAGATGAATTTTGTTAAATACAAAATGTAGCAATAAAATAAATTTATGGTAAGGAAGTCATGAAGCATCTATTTTGATGGCTAAAGTTTCTTGGGATACCTTATTTTTAAAACCACCTAAAAGTACAGAAGACTCGATATACATTGGCATGATAGGTTTTATTGATCTCCTTATCAGAAATTTGGAATAATAATCAGGCTGGCGGTGGGACAATAATTCTGATGTAAAAAGTCAAGAATTATTTATCATGTGGAATATATATTTTCTTGTAGGGTATCCTTATCTACATTTTATTTTTTATAGTTTCTCAGGAGTTTAGCCTGCATACTAAGGTTGTAAATTTTTTTCCTTTCATTGTTGAATATTCATTCCTTTTACATAAAAAAGAGCGTTTTCTTATCTTTAAAATAATGTATGCATTTTAAGGATGCTTGAGGATTATTTAAGCTCTTCTCATGGCATTCCCAAGCAAGAAGTCCGTCTTCCGCAAAAGAACAAGGAAATAAGGCAGAGTTGTCACTAGGTCACGGAGTTGAGCTAGGATTAGACACTGATGCTCCTGTCGGCCAGCTACAGCGCCTCTGGGTGGCACAGCCTCGTAGACTTTCCTTTGTTACTCCACCCACAGCTCTGCAGTGCACCATGAAGAGAAACGGTGAAGGCTGTAAGGTCTCTTATTAACCAAGGATACAATTTCCTTTTAGAACAGAAACATAATTCCTATTGTGTGTGTCACTTAGAAGGGAGAATAGAGAGTATTTCTTTAAAGTGCTACTATAATAATAAAGTCTGCAACCATGGAGCTGTGGGTTAAGCCAAAGTATGCATATTGATTTATGAGCACAAAGAAAGAACTAGAAGTTATATTAAACTATGACTGTGAAGTGGAAGCTGTAAGATGCAGACACTCATTTTACTAAGGGTCAAAGCTCCAAGAACACAAGAAATTAATTTTGTTGTTGTTGTTATTGTTTTGGTTTTTCTAGACAGGGTTTCTTTGTGTAGCCTTGGCTATCCTGGAGCAGCCTTGCCTTGAACTCACAGAGATCTACCTGCTCCCACCTCCCAGGACCTGGGGTGAAAGGCATGCACCACCACTGCCTGGCTCTGATTTTTAAACATGTGTAATAAACATGTAAATATGTGTGCATGTGAAGGCCAGAGGTCAATGCTGGATGCCTTTATCAATCATTTTCCACCTTTTTTTTTGAAACCTTCCCAATGCTAGGATTACAGATGCACTGCTGCTGTGTCCAACATTTTTTAGGGGTGCGAGCGATCTGAAGTCAGCCATGTTTGTACATCAACCATTTACTAACTGAGCCATCTTCCTAGCCTAAGACTTTTTTGTTGTTGTTGTAAGAGGTGTTGCATTATTAATTCAGTAAAGGTATCGATATTAAACCTTATAGTTAGACATGGTGGTGAATGCCTGAACTCCCAATGTGCCAGAAACTGAGGCAGAAGGCTCATAAGCTTAAGGCCAGCCTGGTCTACACAGCAAAGTCTTATCTCAAAAATAAAAATAAAATCCTACAAATTTGGCATTTATGGCTATTATGCTAGCATCTGAAAGCAAGCTTAGTCATGGAAACAGTGTTTGCTCACTGCATAGTTATTGTTTACCTAGTTAGGAGGGTAGTAAATCTCAAGGCTATTATAAGCATGTAGATATAGCCAACATAGATATGAGAGAAAATCATCAAAACTGCTCTTCAGTCAGTGTGTTTTAAATATCAAATGTTAAAATTTGTACAAGCAATCTTAGGAAACTACCTAAGAAAGTCATGCATCCAATTTCTCCAAGTTATGTGTACATGTTATATTACTTACTAATGTATCTGTTATTTAAGGATTCTCAATTAATTACTGTGACCTCAGCTAATGACTGCTTGCTTCGGTGGTTGGTTATGCATAACAAGTATTGGGACTGTATTTACATACTTTAGAACACTGACAGTATCTTAAAATATCTCAATGTTGTTTCTCCTTTTAGTAAAGATGATGTCTGCAAACGCCATGGCTAAAGTAATGATCATCGTGCTGGCAGTTTGTCTTCTTACCCAAACAGACGGGAAACCTGTTAGGTAAGTGCTGCAGCCCATTGTGCACAGGGAAGTGTGGCTTTGTAGTAGGTGCTAATGTTGTGGCCATGGGGAGCTAATGGAGTGATCTTCTCTTTCTGTTCTTTCTAGGAAGAGAGCTGTCAGTGAGATACAGCTTATGCACAACCTGGGCAAACACCTGGCCTCCGTGGAGAGGATGCAGTGGCTGAGAAAGAAGCTGCAAGACGTACACAATTTTGTTAGTCTTGGAGTCCAAATGGCTGCCAGAGAAGGCAGTTACCAGAGGCCCATCAAGAAGGAGGAAAATGTCGTTGTTGATGGCAATCCAAAAAGTCTTGGTGAGGGAGACAAAGCTGATATGGATGTATTAGTTAAGGCTAAATCTCAGTAAATACTGATCTATTTCAGACAGTGCAGGGCAATGATAGATGCTGCTACCCTTTCAAGCTCTATGGTGACCACCAAGTGCTAATACTTCTACTGTAATGAAAATTTGGAATATTTTTGATTCCACTTTTGCTCATTTAAGGTCTCTTTCAATGATTCCATTTCAATATGTCTTTTAAAAGTATCACACCTTTCCACTTCTCTCCTTAACTCTAAATAAAGTTTTAATGATCATGAATCAAATAAGCAGTGCTTCTTGCTTGTTAATATTCTGTCTCAGTGTTGGAGGGCTGGCTCAGAAGCTGAGAGTGTATACTGCTGCCTCAAACGACGGGTTCCCAGGACCCACATCAGGTTGCTCACAACCACCTGTAAGTCCAATTCCAGGACGATCCAATGCCCTTGGCCCTGTCAGTACTTGCACTCACATGCACATACCCACACACTTACAAGTAATTTAAGATAACAAAAAAAATCCAAAATAAATCCCATGTCTTTTGTCAGGATGCATACCCAAACGCTTTATTGACATAAATATATAAAACAACACAAGAAAAAATTTCTTCAATTCATTTACCCCAGTTGATATTTTGAACACTGTCTGCTTTTAATTCCAGAGTACTAGATCCTCAGATTCACATTAGCTGGTTAGTACTCTCCCCTTCTTTTTAGGAAGCCCAATGAAATACTCAGGAAACGGGGCAGAAAGTGGTCTGAGACTTGACTGAAAAGCATTTGCCATTACATAAACTCACAGAGTATATCTATACTCTGAACTCCACACTGCAAAGAATAGAAATATAGTATTTATCTATTATTTGCAAGCCCTTATTTAGGGTCCATCACATATAATGAATTCAGTTATTTTGTTTTGCACAGACATGGTTCTTGTCTTCATGGAACCCCCAAATTTTGGCATTAATTCATAATAACTTTGAGGCGTTCTAAGTATGAAAACCACATCCACTACAGGGGTGCAAAATACAGACCCTATGGTATTTACAACAGAGATACACAAGAAAATATCATGCAATAATGGAAATATTCCGTACTCTATGATTCCTGTAATGCTAGTCACATTCATGTTGATCTAAAACATGGCTACTATAGCTGTGAAAACTGATTTAAATTTTGTTTAAATTAATTTAAGTAGCAGCTTGTGGTCAGTATTGTGCTCCCAAACTGTAGGTCCTTCAAACACCTGCAGGTTTTCACTTCCAGCCACTTATTGCCATAAATTAGATATTATATACTTATTGTTCAGGCCATGCAGGAGAACTCTTTTGTCAGTTCCTCTTTGGTCACGTAACCTACTTATTGGGCTCATTTATTAGTTAAAATTGTTTATCTTTCGATAAAGCTTTTTGCCTGGCGGTGGTGGCGCACGCGTTTAATCCCAGCACTTGGGAGGCAGAGGCAGGTGGATTTCTGAGTTCGAGGCCAGCCTGGTCTACAGAGTGAGTTCCAGGACAGCCAGGACTACACAGAGAAATCCTGTCTAGAAAAAAAACAAAAAACAAAAAGCAAAAAAAAAAAAAAAGATAAAGCTTTTTATACTGTTGATCATCAAAATAATGGCACATTACCTTATCTTATTTCCTCATTTTATTGCATGTTTTTGTTTTTTTATAGTTTTATTCAGCACCTGTATTTTTTTAATCTTTAAGTTATGAGGGATGCTACTGTTCTTTCTTAATCTATGCTTGACTTTAAAAGCAATAATTTCTCCAGAAAATAAGGCTCTTAACATACTACCATATTCTCTTTCAGAACTGGTCTACAAAAGGCTCTTTGGAAGTATAAAGCACTGGACTTTAAAAAATACTTTCTTTGTAAACACATATAATCTTCACTTCCAGGATGTTATTTTCATAAATTCATTTGTCTGACTACAATTAAATGTCCATAACACAAATTAGTTTTTTAGATTTATAACTTTATTTTACTTATTTATTTTGTTTCTTTTAAGACAGCTTTTCTCTGTATTCCTAGCTGTACTAGGAACTCACTCTGTAGCCTAGGCTGGCCTTGAACAGATCTGCCTGATTCTGCCTCCTGAATGCTATGATTACAGGTGGTGTGCCACCACCACAGGGCTTATATCCACCTTATTACAGAATCCTTGAAAATAATACAAATTTTATATTTTATTTTTTAATTTTAAGCCAGCAAAGAATGAAATCATGACTTTTTCAGGAAAGTAGATAGACCTGGAGATTGTGTTAAGGAAGATAAAATAGACTGCATCTCACATGCAGGATGTAGAAATGTGTATTTATAGGACATTAGAGGAGAACCAGATTGTGAGAGGGCAAGAAGAGATCTGTGCGAGGGTGAGGGGGAGGGAATAATGGCTAGACAGGTGGTGGCAGTGTACACTTTTATTCCCAGCACTCAGGAGGCAGAGAGGCAGAGGGGCAGGGGGCAGGGGGGCAGGGGGCCAGGGGAGCAGGGGGTAGGGGGGCAGGGGGCAGGGGGGCAGAGGGGCAGAGGGGCAGAGGCAGGTGAATCTCGGTGAGGTCAGCCTGGTCTACAAAGCAAGTTTCATGACAGTCAAGGATACACAGAAAAACTCTATCTCAAAACACACACACACACACACACACACACACACACACTCACACACTCACACAGAGTGGGGGGCAAGGAAGGGAGGGAGGAGAGGAGAAAGAAGGGAATGCAATAGGGTTTCTTTATAAATAGTGAAGTTTATTGTATATTACAATCTTGTATAAAATCTATGGCTTGTCTAAAATAATCTGTGTATAAGAGTGTGTGAGGCTAGAGTTAGAGTTATAAGCAGTGGTGAGCTGCCTGCTGTGGGTGCTGGGGTCAGAACTCAGGTCCTCTGCAAGGACAGCAAGTGCTCTTAACTGCTAAACTATTTTTTCAGCCCTACTTTTTTTTCTATTAAGAAAAATATAAAATGAACATCCACTTTCTACCCTTGAGGTTATGTAATAGCATGCTGTCAGTATTTTAGGATTTCCACTTGGGATCTTCTTTGATTTTTTTTTAAACCATATTCTTTTTGTTTAACTTTTGCTTCAATTTTTCTTTTTTATTATTATTATTTTATTCATTTACATTCCAGTCATTGCTTCCCATCAGTCCCTCCTCCCACAGTCCCTCTTCCCATTCCTCCTCCCCCTTGCCTCCAAGAAGGTGCTCCCCCCATCAGGATTCTCCCTTCCCTGGGGCCTCAAGTTCCTTGAGGATTAGGCTCATCTTCTCCCACTGTGGCCTGACCAGGCAGACCTCTGTTATATATGTGCCAGGAGCTTTGGACTGGCCTATGTACACTCCTGGTTGGTTGCTCAGTCTCTGGGAGCTCCCTGAGGTCTGAGTTAGTTGAGTCTGCTGGTCCTCCTATGGGGTCTTTCTCCCTTTCAGCTTCTTCAGTCTTTCCCCTAATTCAACCTTAGGGGTCCCCGGCTTCAGTTCAATGGTTGGGTGTAAGTATCTGAGTCTGTCTCAGTCAGCTGCTGGTAGAGCCTCTCAGAGGACAGCCATGATCCTGTCTGTAAGCACATCATAGCATCAGTAATAGTGCCAGGCCTTGGTGCCCCCCACCCCCATCCCAATGAGATGAATTGGACTGCCTTTCCTTCAATCTCTATTTTTGACCCTGCAGTTCTTTTAGACAGGAACAATTCTGGGTCAGAAATTTTGACTGGCTGGGCAGTGGTGGCGCTCGCCTTTAATCCCAGCACTTGGGAGGCAGAGGCAGGCAGATTTCTGAGTTCGAGGCCAGCCTGGTCTATAGAGTGAGTTCCAGGACACAGCCAGGGCTATACAGAGAAACCCTGTCTCGGAAAAACCAGAAAGAAAGAAAGAAAGAAAGAAAGAAAGAAAGAAAGAAAGAAAGAAAGAAAGAAAGAAAGAAAGAAAGAGGGAGGGAGGGAGGAAGGAAGGAAGGAAGGGAGAGAGAAAGAAGGAAAGAAAGAAAGAAGTTTTGACTGTGGGCAATGTTCATTAGGAACAGTTCACATTCTGACCATGAACAAATTTTGAAATTGGAGAAAAATCCTCTCCATTTGATTCTCTATTTCCTGTTCTTCCCTCATCCATCTGTAACAAAATTATTTTCCCTTCCTAAGGAGATACAATCACCCTTCCCCATTCCCTTACTTTATCCCTAATTTCTGTGGCTGTATGGATTATAGCTTGCATATCAAAAACTTAATAACTAGCATCAGATATAAGCAAATATATACCATATTTGTCTTTCTGGGTTTGGGTTACCTCATTCAGGATGAATTTCTCACTAGTTTCATTCATTTGCCTGCTGATTTCTTTTCTTTTCTTGTTTTTGTTTTTGTTTTTGTTTTTCGAGACAGGGTTTCTCTGTGTAGTTCTGGCTGTCCTGGAACTCACTCTGTAGACCAGGCTGGCCTCAAACTCAGAAATCCGCCTGCCTCTGCCTCCCAAGTGCTGGGGTTCAAGGCGTGCGCCACCACCACCCGGCGTCTGCTGATTTCTTGAATTCATTTTCTTATTTTTTTCTTTTTCTTTCTTTCTTGTTTTTTCTTGTGTCTTTTTCTTTATTATTATTAATCATCCCATTCGTTTACATCTCAAAAGATATCCTGCTTCCTGGTTACCCCCTCAATCAACCTCCTATCCCATGATATCCCACTTCCCAGTTACTCCTCGGCCAACCCCCATCCCACATCTGCCCACCTCTCCCTTTTGCCTGCTCCTCAACCCACCCACACTATCCCACCCACCGCTCCAGCATCCCCCTACTCTGAGGCATGAAACCTCCCCGGACCAAGGGCCTTCCGACCCATTGCTGTCGGACAAGGCTACCCTCTGCTACATATATATCTGGAGCTAAAGATCCCTTTAGGTGCACACCTTGGTTGGTGGTGTAGACTCTGGGAGAACTGGGTGGCCAGGCCAGCCTATGTTGTTCATCCAATGGGGTTGCAATCCGCCTCCGCTTCTCCAGTTCTTCTGCCAGCTCCCCCACCAGATTCCCTGAATTCAGCCTGATGGTTGGCTCCAAGCATCTGCCTCTGCTTTGGTCAGTTACTGGCCTGACGTCCCCAGGAACTGCCACATTTGGTTCCTTTCCACAGTGCCTCTTGTCCACCACAACAGTGTTGGGTTTGGTGTCTGAAGTCATGATGTGTCCCTAGGTGGGGCAGTTCCCTGGTTGGCCCTTCCTTCAGTCTCTGTTCCATTTTTTGTCCCTGTTCTTTCTTTGGACAGGAACATTTTTGAGTTAAAAAACTTTG